TCTCTCTGTGTAATTGAATATGAATGAAATGAGTATATTTCTGTGCTGATACTGAAGCATTAAAATGCTGATAATCTGGTATAATATCCACCACAAATTTCCTCGTAGATAATTGAATAACTCTGCCATTTTCCATCCAATCTTAAAAAAACTTTCATGGAATTAAGAGAAGGTGTAAGACTATAGATTGTTTTGTTGAGTTTTCAAAATATGAAATAGACATTTGTTGGTGGTGTCTGGAGTGTGGACTTTCACTGATATTTTGCAACCTTGAATACCACCTCAAGAAACACTTTAAAAAATAGTTTTCTTATTCGTATAGGACAATTCATTATAGTGTCTGTCTGTCTGCAGTCTGTTTCTCTATTTTTAAAAAAAATTATATGATTCTCCGTTCCTCTCTCTCTCTCTCTCTCTCTTTCTCTCTCTCTCCCACTCTTTCATCATCTCTCGTTATCTCTGTCTGTCTGTTTGTCTGTCTGTCTGTCTGTCTCTCTGTCTGTCTGTCTGTCTGTCTGTCTCTCTGTGTTGCAACTGACATAAAGGCTTTGAACATCTTGCTCCTTTTTTTTGTAAGTGTTTTACCGCGCTCGCAACTGCAAAAGGTCATATGAGCGTGCACGACACATTAACCATTTTCAGTTGGAAGGAAATTTTGAATTTTGCCCGGATGGCGGCTGAAGCCTACTCTTATCGATTTAAAACCACCAATGGATCTTATATCTCGCACAACTTACACACGGGACCTCTAGGAGTAGATCTTTCATACCAGAAGATCAGGGGTGTGACTGAAAGACAGCAGTAAGAAGGAGCCAAAGAGTAGCAGTAGAGTGGCTGCAGAAAGAGCCAGGAGCCCAGAGGATAGGGGGGGTGGGTGGGGAATTAGGTGAGGGGTAAGGGCAGAAAGTGGAGACAGAGGCAGACGACAGAACATTGCTAGAGAGCAGGGACAGAGGTAAAAAGAGACAGTTTTAGAGAAGAATATTTTTCGGTCGCTACCCGGATTTGAACCCGGGACCTTTGAATGAAGACCTTAACCTCTAGGCCATGAGAGCCCCCATCTTGCTCATACTAGGCAAATAGAATGGGATAGACAGTCAGATAGATAGATAGATAGATAGATAAATAGATAGATAGATAGATAGATAGATAGATAGATAGATAGATAGATAGATAGATAGATAGATAGAAATCAGAGAGAGAGAGAAAGAGAGAGAGAGAGACTGACAGACAGACAGAGACAGAAACAGAAACACAGACAGACATACAGAGATACACACATAAAGACAGACAGACAGAGATAGCAGAGACAAAGAGAGAGATAAAAAGAAAAAGAGTGGGAGAAAAAGAGAGAGAGACAGAGACAGAGACAGAGAGAGAGAGAGAGAGAGAGAGAGAGAGAGAGAGAGAGAGAGAATCCATGATCAAGGACACACTGTTTGGTTATGCCTACGTGACTGGATTATGCATCGTTGTCACGTGTCATTGAACATGAATATAATGAGGGCGGGTGGTTGGCGGGTGCTCTTGTGTGACTTGCTACTTCGCTACGCTAGAATTGCAAAGTTTTTTTTCTGACATTTCTGGCTTTTTTGAGTTACTACAAACAAGAGATCCGTGATCAAATGCTCTATCTGCTCTATCAAAATCGTATGATGATTCGGAGTCATTATTAAAATAATCAAAGAATTGCATTTGAAAAAAGCTTGACATGTTTTTGAACGAAACTTTTTTAATGTCAAATTTCTCAAAACTAGGTACTGAGCTGATAGAACTTTGTAGCTGTAGAGTAGCGATCTCATGACGTGCTGATCTACCCTTCGTCTTTTTTGTGTTTATACTCTCTCGTAACACCTCTAATCCTCGGCACCTATTTGACCTTATTGTGTAGTGAGTGTCGTAAAACGTTTACAAAAACTGCAACAAAGTAATGCGAGTATTTTTGTGTTGCTGTTGAATCTTTGAATGTTGATGTTTTGGTATATCTACCAAAGATTTCCCTCGAAGATCAATAAAGTTTATCTTATCATCAAACAAGCATTTGAAAAAAAAAAGTTGATATATGCTTTTTTTATATGTACGTGTTTGAGTGTTTAATATGTATGTGTATGTAAGCAGGAGTTTTTGCATTCTGTATATTTGTTTGTGTTTGTTAAGTAATTTACTGCATGTTCGGTAGGTACGTATTTGTGTGTTTGTTAAGTATGTGTTTTTGCTTTCTGTATGTATATATTTGTGTGTTTGCGGTATGTATTCTTCCCTCCTTCTTTTCTGTGTATGTTATTTCTTAGCTTACTTTATTTTTACCTTTTCGTCCTCTGTTGCCGTTAAGTGTCTAGGGGAGATGCAGTTTTCTATGTTAGGCCAGCTCCGCAGCTCTTTCAGTTGAGATATTATGTTTTGTCAGGGTTTTCTTGACACCCTCAATCCACCTTTTGTGTTGCCTTCCTCTTCCTTTATAGCCTGAGTGCCTGGTGTTATAGGCTTGGTGACATACGTAACAGGTAGCAAGTTTATTCTTTGTCTTCTTCTTCTTCTCTATCACATCACACTTGAAATCCAATATCTGTCATAAGTTGCACCGTCCTGCTCAGCTCATCTGTCGGCCTGTATAGCTTCTCTTGTAGTGTCAGTGGGGTTGGCCACGTTTCCGGTCTCAGGGCTCTGTGTCCTGCAGTGCAGAAGGATGCCCTTTGTCTTTCTATGAAATGCAGGAAGGACTCAGTGCCAATAGCTGCTTTTACTTCTTCATTTCTCTGCATGTCTCGTCTTGTGATGTAAAGGGTTTTGCGGAGACATTTAATTTCGCATGCAGTGATTTTCTTTTCATGGGTTTTTCTTAATGTCCAGATCTGGCACTGGCAGCAAACTGTTGGTAAGAATATTGAAGGGATAAGCTGTCTCTTTGTGTCCATGGAGAAGTTTGAATGAGATAGGAGGGTTGCGAGCTGATAATAATAATAATAATAGATAGCATTTGTATAGCGCATATCCCCGCTCAGCAGCAGGCTCTATGCGCTATGCACTATATTATTACCCCAGCAGACCATAGAACACTCCGAAACATTCTCAGCTTCCCGGGAAGCATACAGTGCGAGCAGCCGATTAAGCGCTCAAACACTAACAAACTGACAAGATCTTTCGCTGTCTATAGCCGGGTACCCATTCCCACCTGGGTGAAGTGAGGAAAATTCGTGTAAAGTGCCTTTCCCAAGGACACAACGTCGGGCCCTTGACGGGATTCGAACCCACGACCTTACGGTTGCGAGTCCGAGAGCCTAACCACTAGGCCACCGACGCCACTGTGATAGGTGACAGCGTTATCTTTTAAGTTCGCATTTCTATAATTTCTCTGTCTATTGACCTTTTTTTCAGACAAAAAG